TTTTTTTTTKAMACAAACAAAAGCAAAACAAGAATACACTTACACAATAAATTAAGAGCATGTGTCTGAACACAAGACTATGAATTTTGGGACAGTCTTAAGCTTTAAAGCTCTTCCCGATTCTTTCTAAGRTTTCAAWTATTTCAGTAAGAKAATAAGTTATATGACTAATATCTAAATTATAACTTCAGTGTATCGATAAATGTGAGACAGAAATGTCTCGATCAACTATGATTATTGGCCTTGATTAAAGGCATTAAGTAAAGCTCAAAGAGTAAGAAGAACAAAATAAATAAATTATCAGTTAAATTTCTAGGATTTTACCTACGGGCCACAACTGACCCCTAATGTATAATTTGTCTGGCTCCGCTTTGCTGAAGTACGCTGGAATTGAGTTCTCTCTAGCTTTTTTTAGTGTTGCCATCTGAGCGCGCCTTCTTATAAGGATTTCTTGTGGCAAATCCACGTACATTTGGTACTTGGTTCCTTTAAGCTCCCTTCCACGAGACATAATGCTCTCTGCATCTTTTGCTCTTAGGAATCTGGCTAGTATTGGTCTTGGTTTATCTGGTTTACTTCTCCTGTCTCTCCTGGCCGGGTTACGGTGGACCCTTTGTATTTCTACGGTGTCAAAGTCGTAGAAGCTTAGCTTTTCGTCTAGAAATTTTCTTAGAATGAACTCTGTGTTSTGGTCTTCGTCCTCGTCTTCTTCTATGTTAAGGAATTTGATGTTTTCCCTCCTCGAATACGCTTCTAGGTAGAGATTCTTTGTACTAACCTCTTCACATTTAACTTCAAGTGACTTAATTTTAGCTGCTGACTTCTTTATTTCTTGCTGGAGGTTTTGTACAGCTTGATCTTGACAATCTAGTGATCCTTTTAATTCCTTCATATCCTGACAAACGTCTTCTTGCTTTTTCTCTAGAATGTCAGTCTTTTCTTTGARATTATCGAGTGATAGTTGAAATGAGTTAACTGTATTTTCAATAGCGTCCAGTTTAGAGAGTTTGTGTAAGATTGAATCGAGCTTCTCGCTCAGCTCTTTTGACATGTCGCGGAGCGTGTCTTCTTCCTCTTTGAGATGGCTTTTTATCTTTTTTTGATCCGGGGATCTTGTTAAGTTGAACTTGAAGCTGAACTTGTCGATGAACGATTTCTTCTTTTACTTTTACTTTCTGAAGAAAAACTTTCCATTTACTCTCTAATTTTTAAATTTCGCGGGAGAGAGCTCTTTCGCCTTCCTTACGCCTCCATCACCTCGGTCCCAGTCCTAGACTTTATTCTAATCGTCCTATTCTTCGATTGCACGTTACGTCATCGCGGCCATGTTGGTGCCATTTAACAAAAGATTTCTCATTAGCACCCATTGTGAACGGCACCACAATGGCCGCCATGCTTTTGTCTTTTGACTCTCTTGGGAATGCTTGCAATCCACCAATAGTTTAAAAAATTAAATTACCTGACAGAAACTATAGTGGGTAGCGCTGGTCAATGCAGCTGAATTAGGCATGGTTACTGATTTTCCAATGGGTATAGACCATCCGTTTGGAATCCCTTCCAAGGCTAGCCAGTCCTGAAAAAGAACATACAAAAAAATCAATATAGAATAATTTTTTAAAGCCCAGAATTCAAACGTCGAATTTCACTTGCTGAATCAAATAGAGCAGCGCACTGATTCTAAAAATAGCTTAAAGATTCGGACAAACATTGCATTCTGTTTAACCGCTACGAGGATTATACGAACCGATTTTATTATTTTTACTTAAAGTTACAATAACCCATGTAAACTAAGATCAACTGCGATCGGCTGTGAAAATTATCTGCTGAAAGTAAACTTGTAAGTTTGTTTGTCCGAATTTCGCCTTTGTCTTCGTTTTTATGACGTCACGGTTGCGCTGCGCTATTGAAATGAGAAAAACTATATTTTGAATTCATTTGCATCACTTTCTAGTTTGACTTTATCGATCGTCTTCTATATTTTCTTCGCTCGTGTTCAGCGATAGGGTACAAGGTTTTACCATTTCAAAATATATACCCTTCACTTGAGAATAAGCCGTCTTTGTTTAAGTTGCATCCATATTCATGTGTCTTCTCATGTGCAACCGTTAAACAAAGAAATGATACTCTAGAGAATAACGCGTGGTCTGAAATAAAACATTTCGCCTAGGTAGAAAAGATATCTTTTGGAGGCGTACTTACCACTGCAATCGACTCGTGAACGCCATCAAAATTCTTCAACTCTCGAAGACAAGCTTTGAATGAATACTGGGTGGCGCCTTCAGCCCATACACTCATTGCATCATGGCTGTTCTCGAAGCTCGTCTTGTGGATGGCGGTCACGTACACGTATGGTGCAGAGGGGAAAGACTAAGAAACAAATTGTAAAGTTAGTTATACTCGAGCACGCAGTAAAGCTTAGAATATTTCTCTCCTGTTACAGCAAATAAGTTTAAAGTAACGTGTATCTTGGTATCTTGCTGATTCTTGGGGTGCATGTTACATTATTTATGCAAAACCCTTGTGGGGTCCAAAACAAAGAATCTGAGACCGAAAGGTGTCCTGGGTAATGTAAATGACATAACTGTCCTCGATGAATTGCGCTATTTCATAATGACGTCACATCAAAACAAATTATTGTTTTAATCATGGTCGCTGGAGGGGGATGAAATGACAACAACACATCTTAGATCACAATGAAATTTGGTTTACGAGCTGGTGAAGGCAAGAACAATCAAATATTACGCTAAATATCTCGAACGAAGAGAATCAAGCTTAAATTTAGCCTACATTTCTATCATTTTAGTGAACTTAAACAAACCAAGACGTCATTATGAAATAGAGGAATTCATTTGAAAGCCTCCTTACTTTCTGCCAGTAAAGCAATTTATAAACATTCTACAATCGCCAGTTGTATCCCTACGTGCGTTTGATCTATTAACATAATTCCCATGTACCATTCCGGTATCAGCTTCTATGTTAATTATATGCATGTTCTTTATCCCGACAAAAACTTGCAATTTGAATGGATCATGCTCTTGGCACAAAACACATAGGTATGCTCATTTCAAACAATTTCTTTCCGTTGCAAGGTAATGGAGATTTTAAATCTGGTAACAGTACAATAAACCGTGCCGTATCTATCATGAGAATTAGTAAATGTGTGCAATTTCCAAAACGCTAGAGTGCGTACCATATTTCCTTGAAAAAATTAACCAACAAAATTGTACAAATTAGTGCGAAGTTTTGTAGGTCTACGGTCTACTGAGGTTTACTGAACTTAGACTTAATAGAAATCTTAGAGTGCATACCATATATCAGTGAAAAAGTTAACTAACAAAATTGTACAGATTAGTGCAAAGTTTTGTAGGTCTACGGTCTACTGAGGTCTACTGAACTTAGACTTAATAGAAATCTTAGAGTGCATACCATATATCAGTAAAAAAGTTAACTAACAAAATTGTACAGATTAGTGCAAAGTTTTGTAGGTCTACGGTCTACTGAGGTCTACTGAACTTACTAATTTGTGCGATTTCTTACAAAGTGTTTCACGGATATATAACATGCACTCTCCAATTGTTTAAGAAAAGCATACAGTTCTTAAAAATAGTTTTTAAAACATAAAAAAACAGATTTTTCTGAAACGCTTATCAATATACCTTTCCAGTAAAGTCAACATCCACGCATTCGGTACCAGAAGTAAAGAGAGGCACGTCAGATTTTCCAGCAAGTCCAGTTCCTGGTGAGCCCGCGTATGTCATCCATTGGAGTTTGATCACACGAGAGACTGGGACAGGTCCGGCCGTCTCTACACATGCCATAAATCCATTCTCGGTAATCTTCTCGACCCAGCTTACAGTCGCCTCGTATGTATATTCATTATCATCGGCTAAGATGGCTGTTTGAACATGGATCTCAGGTAGTTGGGCGCTAGTATAAGAGTTTGCAAAACCAAATGGCTTGCAAGAAAAGTCGTTTTGAGCTAGGATAGTGAATGTTCCTTTTCCAAACTGTATTACGCCCTCCGCTAAAAATGAATAAAAGTTAACTATTATCTAAAGCTGTCCATTAACAAAAATGTAGCTATTTTGTTACTAACATCGCTTTTACATGCAATAAGTTTTCCTTTTTTTCGTTTTGGTTTTTTTTTTTTTTTTTCTTTTTTTCTTTTTTTACCTTGCAAAAAATGTTAAAAATAACACGAGTTAGGTCAGTACAGAGGTTGTTTCATGGTAAAATTAAGAAAAAAACTAAATTAATTATGTCTGTAGCAACCGTGTGAAGAAATTGTATTTGCCCTTTCTTCTGTTGAGGAATTTTACAAAAACGTTCCAGCATATTTCACTTCTACACCTTACAAAAAATATCTTCTGTTTTATCTGCAGAAGTTAAAATATAATCCACACGTGAAAAAGTCTACTAAAATATGGAACATTTTTCATTACTTTTGCGAGACAACTTCAAGAAAAAATTGGAAATAACTGCTTTTGCTTTAGTTTTAAATCTAATTTTGATTTTCTTAAATTATTCTTATTGCATAAATATTGGAATCTAGAGTTCCGAATCCATTTTTTTATATATCAACTTTTCTTCAATTATCTTATGAATATTTCCGCTTTGAATATCAAGTCTAGGAAGGATCAATTTATTATTTTTTTGGTATACAAACCTGGTGCGAAAAGAGCGAAGGTAGCGAAAAATAGGAGTACCGAAAACTTGTCCATGTTGAATCTGAAATAAGAGTTTAAAAAAAGCTTACTTATAAAGTTTTAAATCTTTTTGGTTTTAAACTGAATGGATTCTGCAGAAAAAGTTTAAACTCAAAGACTAACAAGAGTTAGAATTTTTTTTAAGCTTTCCTACCATTGACAAATAAACTCTGCCAAGAACGTAAAAGTTTAAATATTTCTCTAAACTTTCAAGAGTTTAAAACCAAACGGAACTCAAGAGTTTACGAAAACTAATAGCTCAATCTTCCTAGGAGAAGTTAGAGTAAAAAGAAGCTCTAAGAAACAACTTTACGAATGCCTTACCTCGAGAAATCCTGAGAGCAAATCTTGATAGCTGCTTCAAGCGAGAAGTGAACGAATGCTCTCTGCTTTGTGTTTTTATACCATTCGGTACTGCTTATCGCACGGGGTTATTTACAAGTCAACAACGAACAAATGATCCCGTTTTATGCATTAATAAGAATGTTTTTATTGTAATAATATTGGTGTGATATTATAATCATGTTGAATAACATTCCTTTTAAATCCAAAGAACAATGATTTGACAAATGTATGAAAAATATTACGAAATGGTCTAGGATTTCTGTCATTTTTGGAAGAAAAATATTCCTAAATTTGACTAGATTGTATAGATTGTTTTCAGTACACAATTCTTTATTACAACAAAAACATTCTTTTTCTACATGAAAAACTGAGAAAACGTTTTGATCCTCTGCTAGGGATCTTAAAAAATATTCACTGGAATTACAGATACCTACAAGCTATTTAGGGTGTGAAAAGCATGATTAGAGCTACACTTGTCAGAACGAAACGTGGTTCGTATCACAAAGATCAAAACCCGACATAAAGTTCAAAAGATTTGGGTACAGAATTCAAACCGCAAACCGTTTAGTTTTACAAAGGTATTGTGCATTTGATACAACGACGGAGATAATAAATGATTTTGAAAAAAAAAGCACGACTTTGGAAAAAAACAAGCATCAAATAAAGTGAAGCCGATGGGGGGAGGGGGGAGGTGTTTGTCCGACCGTTCCAATTCACCTGTCCCCTCCCCCCTCCTCCCCAGTGTAAAGGTGCGAGACGTAATAGGGTTCAAGTTTATAATAGCAAATTATCGTGTTTTGTAAGAATAATCCGTAGTGACAGGCGGTATCTCTCAGCATGATTATTGACATCTTAAAGATTCGTGCCATTGACACTTACAAATGCACGTGTGCCGCACAGTACGTGAAAATTAAACACCTTCATCTCAAATTAATCAAATGCACAAGTTCAATAATTACGACTGAGCTACGCAAACGTTCCTACACGAGAAAGAAAGCGTAGAAAATAATAATAAGGTGCGAGTTTTAGATTTTTCATTCGTTTAAAGTTCGAATATTTTTCGTATGTGAGGATTCAGTTCTTCCCTAGCAGCACCCTTTTTGCAACTTTTTTCTATTATTATTTGTTTTCAAATAAAGTTATTATAAATTCTAGTCTTGAGCAACGCTGAGGAAAATTTTCCCGATGCTTTTAGCAACATATAACTGCAAGCTTCGAGTTCCTTTTTTTCAGGACTATTTCGTTACCTTTCTAATGTTTTAAACTCTCTAAAATGAGAACATGCGTAATAAGTAAATTACGAGCCTTAGATGAAACGACTGAAGAAGAGTGCCATACAAGCCTTTCACAACTTCAAGTCGCGTAAAAAATGAGCCAGCTCAACTAGAAACTGTGGACAGCTGTTTCGGCCTGTATTGGGCCTCGTCAGCACAGTGTATCTAGTGAGCTGGCAATCCCACGAAAAAGTAGTACTAGATAGATGTGGCAGTGCGCCGTGTGTGATGGGCTCGGATATCAAATAAGAACATCTAGTTGAGCTGGCTCATTTTTTACGCGACTTGAAGTTGTGAAAGGCTTGTATGGCACTCTTCTTCAGTCGTTTCATCTAAGGCTCGTAATTTACTTATTACGCATGTTCTTATTTGATATCCGAGCCCATCCCACACGGCGCACTGCCACATCTATCTCTCTAAAATGAGTTGAGTTCAAATACATCTAGTGATCAGAATAAATCTTATTTCCAATCGATTTGCTAAAAGAAAAGTAGTACAGTATTTTTAGTACAGCACTAAAAAAGGTACAATACAACTTGTTGAGAAATAAGTAATGAGTTCTTTCAAGAATTTGAAAAATTATTGCGTTTTTGGTTTCAGTTTCTGTTTCAACGTTGGCTGAGTTGGCGATGATTTGGAAGCACTTTGTTCCATTTTTCTCCCTGTTGTACATGTCACAAACATCTGGTAAGATATACTAACTATACTAACTAGCTTTTCTTTTCTCCTCCTTCTCCTTCTCCTTCCCTTCTGCTTCTCCTTCTTCTCCTTCTCCTTCTGCTTCTCCTTCTCCTTCTGCTTCTGCTT